CGAGGGTCTTTCCAATCTCTCGCAGATTCTGCAGCCATGGTAAGAATTCCACTCGCACCATGTCTATATTGATGCTTTGAGGCTCGGCACCTTACCCAACTTGATGAAATGTGTCCGACATATGGCGGTGGCTTCTCCGAGCCCAAACAGAGTCTTCGTAGTACAATCGGATCGAAGGCAGGTACGTTGTGCAACACCTTATAAACCGCCACCCAGTACATTTCTTCGGCGTCATGAAGAGGTGTGACCCAGAAGTCCGGGATTGACATGGCTGGCTGAATAGGGTCGGAGGCTTGCGACTGCCGGTCGGTATTGGATCCCATCTTGGAAAACACACGCCGGAGGCTCCGAGCTGTGCCACCTACTATGTCGTGCACCGGAACACGAAGCTCGCTGAACACTTCCCAACATTGATTAACGTTGGCATAACTTGCCAGCCACTTGTCCTACTTCACCTCCCCGGTTACGTTGGTCGGGGTGGCTTTGAGATTGCCAGAGAGACCGATGGATGACCCTGGAGAATTCAGGGCAGTTTATCAAGCCAGTCGTATGGTTCCACACGATTCATCACGTCAACCGCACACTATCAGGTTTGATGAGCAATGATAAGATAAGATGTACATACCTGGCACCTCTTGTTTCGACAACGACAACAATATTTCCGGTAATATATCCTAGGGCTCGAGTAAATCCTACCACGGTTGTCAATCGTTCTGAATGAAACTGTCAGCGCCAGCCACAAACTGAATCCTTTTCATGCACAGAAAACCTCTGGTCAAATTCGATTCCTGTGCACATGTTGGCAGAGAATCTCCGACGCTCCTGACAATGCCCCATCGAGAGCTCTTGCGCGCCGGGAGGAGCTTCTGGTTTACTCCAGGAACATCAGGCTCATTCACACGAGTGCTTGGATCCTCGGCCTCCCCAGACTGAGCACATCTGCATCGTATTCCCTCCTCGCAAAGTTCCAGAACAGGCTATCCTTCTATTGTTCATTTGCAGCCATTTCCACGTGGGCGGTGTTTGCGTGGAACTTCCCCTCGATGTTGAGGGCTGCGCCCGCGCTGTTCGGGAGCCCGATATCATAATAGTCCTCGATCGACGTACGGGGTGCCGTTGGCCTGCAGGTTGTAGGGCAAAGTAATATGGGGAGCGTGTCGGTCCAGTTACAAGGAGGGAAGTGAACACTCGGGATGATTGCTTCAGCCTCGCCGACGCAGGCAGCAGCTGCGGACCAGAGTCAGCAAGGGATTCTGCTGGTAGAATGTAGACGCACTTTTGAGCGTATATAGGGCAGTCTTGCTGCGGATAACTCGGAGGGCTCCGAACTAATCTCCGGCTGCAAATGGAGGTTGAATGAGGACCGGATGGCTTGCTCTGTCTTTGCTTGGCGCGATGTACTCCGTCGCAACCCCATCCGTGAGAGTATCATCCATCCTTTGCAGATCGGAAGTCTTCAGCCACATTTTTGCGCCAGTCTTCTAAAGAATTCGCCTTCTGGCGAATAGAGTCCTGACACCAGAAGAGGTACATTATGTGTTCGGGACTGATTGGCTCGTCTTCCTCCATGACACTGTCTTCTATTAGCCCGTAGCCGAGAGCTTCTTTGTGTGGTTCCTGTTCGGATGCTAGACGTGCCGGCATACGATGGAATGTGGCTATCTTCTTGTACCTTTGTAAGTTGTGACTGAAATGCATCAAAAGAGAAGCCGCATAGTGCAAATGAAGTAACAATGCAGACGGATAGTCGCTGCTTGGGGTACCCTCGCGGAATGCTGCGTCGGTGTTATTGGTCAACCCCATAGACAGTGGAAACAACTCTTGGGAAGTGAATCGCACTTCGGGCGGAACGTCAGCATGCGGGAGAAGCGTGGGACGGGAGGTTCGAGGTATATCATCGGTTGATAGAACGCGATTCGGCGTCTTTATACATGAGTGCATGTGAAGACGACACAGGCGAGTAACTCGCCACCATGACAGCCAACAAATGGCGATCGAATGCCACATGTAGAGTGGGATTGAGCATCATACCATTTCGGACGTCATCTATGTCCATATCGTCCGCATCGAGCCAATCGTCAGTCCGATCTCCTTCCTGTTGTCGATCTCGCACGATCATCTTCAGCCACTAGGAAAGACGTTATGTTGACACAACCCATGTCGCATCGAGGCTCACCTCTGTCCCCCTAGCATGGGGAAAGATGTGTGCCGCCTCACACAGTACTGATGAGAATCCCGTAAATATGTAAGCCAGATCTCGCTCTACGATAGGTTCTTTGAATATGCTGTGAGCCGTCGTGCTTGTAGCCATGCTGGTTCGTCTCGCAAAAGCTTCCAGATCAACAGGGCTTCTCAAAGGGGCTGTTTGGGAGTGAGTCCATGCTCCGTCACAACAGAAGGCAAGCTACTCACAGACACCAGGCGGCGTACAAAATTCGTATACCGTACCGACTTCAAGATTCGAATCTTCATCTGACCCGGGGTGGACGGTCCCTCGAAAGAGACCAGTAATGTATACGGCGATATACCGCAAGTACTTGTGCGGACGGCAGGAGTTCGCCCGAATGATGTTAAGCGGTATATCGAGCGAGACTATATCGGCATCACCGAAGCGTGCAATAACTAGTTTTATACACTGCGAGGGCGGTTCCACGTCGTCAACGGTTTGTTCGGCAGACATGTGAGTTTGCGGTGATCGTTGTCAGTGTGTAAGTAAGGGTAGGGCGCCTCATTCTCGATGGTCAGGGCCTGGGTATGATGTCAGACGGCAGGACCGCGCCGGAACGTATTTCTACATGAATATATTGAGTATAGCAAGAATTCCCTTTTTCGGAAATCGGAGGTAGATTGCCTCCGGCGGGCACGTTACTACATGCTACTACTTCCTACTTTTCTTGTTGTCAGTTGTATCATATGTAGCTTACAAGATTTGTGTTTGATGCAGGTGTTATCTTGTGTGCAGAATCCGATTAGATAGTTGCTCTTTAGTTAACAAGATGAATCTATAATGAGGAAGCTAATACAACTCAAACAGTGACAATGTGCTTGAATGTACTGTGAATAGCTCCAGACATGAACACTGGATGCGGAATAGGGTCCTGTATCCTGTGCCTGGCACACTGAAAAAGCAGTTTTCAGCACACCAGGTGCTTTTTCTTAAAATAGCATTTAATTGAGTGCTTTTGCATCTGCCCCTGATGGGCTTAAATTTAGCCTCTGTTCAGGGACTGACAATGCTGCATTGAGGCCCTAAGGCCAAAGCATCTAAGTCTGCCACCACTGTCATCTCCTCCTCCTCTCCTCAACTCTCCCTCCTTGACTCTCTCCTCTCCTGCCACCACCACCACTCCCATCCCCTCTTTGCTGTGACATGTTCCCTCAAGAAACCCCTTCCCCCCCTTTCTTCCCTTTTGCTGACCTCCATTTGGAGGATGGCAACTGAGGCAAGCCTGGGCAGTGTGTGACCTTCAAGAATGAAACCAAGCCTGAGCCCAAGACTGATTCCCCCCCTCCTTCCCTCTCCCTGTCCTCTGTTTGGAGGACAGCGACTGTGGAATGCCTCAAGACAAGTTCAGAAGTGCACAAAGACATTCCCTGCTCCCCCAGACCATTGTTAAAAGGTGTGTTAGTATTTTAACACATTGAATACTAACTTACCTTTCATAGATGGTTTTTGTGAGCACTCTCACAGGATTCCGGGATTCCCCTCAGGGAGATCCCAGATTTGAAGACAATTGGTTCAAGGCTGCTGGCCTGCAGATGGCCAGCAGTATCATGAGAGAGCATAGCACTCTAGGTGCGTTTTTCTAAACTTCTAATATAATGAGTACTAACTAACTATTCACAGACAAACAAAAACCAAATTTTGCCAGTTTAGAGCACTTCACACTCTACAACCAGTTCTCCAAGGACATTAGCAGGTGCTATCAAAAGCAACCTAGCATTCTCTACCAACCTCTTGACCCAAAACTCTCCACTGCATTCTCTGTGGAGAACATTGAACCCATTACTACCATGATCCCTATGGCAAGTGGGATGCAATGACCAATTTGCAGAGGAAGAAGAGGTGGAGGTCCCTCAAGCAGCATTTCAATGCTCTGCTTGAGGGACAGGGCAAGGTGTTAGGGCAACACAGGCTGACTAAGTCTGCTCACCTAAGAGTGCCAAGAGTCTAAGCAGGCAACAAGGAAGTGGAGTAGACCTGATGACTAAGACCTATCTACAGTATAGGTACCTGTGGATGATCCTAAGAGACCAAGTCTGAAGAGACAGTCCCCAGGCAGAGTAGGCCTTATATTTATACCTCTGTGGTGGAACCTGCTAGAACATCTTGCTTACTCAGCCTAGTCAGGTGAT